TGAGAGCCCTGGGGCTGGTCAGCTGGAGAGGAGAAGCCTCAGAGGGGATCTGAGCAGTGCTGAGCAAGAGCTAAAGGGCCCCGGGGGGCAAGAGGCTGGGGCCAGACTCTGCTCAGTGGTGCCCAGCCACAGGACAAGGGGCAACGGGCACCAACTGGAACCCAGGAGGTGCCACCTGAGCAGGAGGAGAAACTTCTTTGGGGTGAGGGTGCAGAGCCTGGAGCAGCTGCCCAGAGAGGCTGTGGAGTCTCCTGCTCTGGAGAGATCCCAAACCCTCCTGGCTGTGACCCTGGGCACCCTGCTGGGGGTATCCCTACTTTAGCCAGGAGGATTGGATGAGATGATCCCCAGAGGTCCCTTCCCACCCCACCACTCTGGGATTGGGGGTTCTGTAATGCAGGGAGGGTATTTTTAGGCAGTCTCAGTGTCACAACCAAGTTCAGGCTTCCAGCTCTGGCAGCTGACACTCCCCACACAAGAATAGCTCTGGCTGCCAGCAGCCCAGCCCCTGCAGGCTGAGCAGCTCCAGCAACACAACTCCACACTGCCTCGTGGCAGGTGCCACCTCATGCCTCAGGAGAGCCCCTGTGCTGCTGCTGCTCCTCCTCCTGGCACCCACAAACCCTCAAAAGCTCTGGGTGACAGTGGCACAGACAGAATGTGGCTCCTCACCAGGCAAAGGGAGCTGGACCAAGAGCCCGTCCACCTCGGCGTCGTTGTTGAGCTTGCTGATGAGGTCCAGCAGCTCCTCCTCAGTGATGGAGGCTGGTCGGAGGATGGTTTCACTGCTGATTCCTGCACAGACACCCAACACACCACCTCAGAGCCACGGGTGTGGAAGTGGGGAGCAGCTTTTCTCAATCCACCTGGATTTGAGTTGCCCCCTTTCTCCCCTCTCCCAAATCTGGTGTAACAACGAGCTCCTTCCAGGCTGGAAAGCTGCACGAGCCTTGGGAATTAGTTTTAAGGGCCATCAGTGTTGGTTTAACGACCAGGGAAAGACTCTGTGAAAGCAGAGACCCCCCGAGTGCAGGGTGGGCTTGGGGAAACCCAACCAAAGTGTGCTACCATGAGGATGCAACCACATGTCCCACGGTTCCTCTCAACACAGCAAGGCATTTTTAAACAAGCTTTGGAAAATCTCAGCTCTAAAAGCAGCTTCAGCATCACCCAAGAGAATTTAAACCATTTATCACCCCTAACCCCTTTCAGCACGTTTTATTTAGGAATACACTTGGCTGAACACCAAGCAGGAGCTCAGCTTGTAAGATCAGGAGTCAAGAGGGGAGTGAAGCTGCTGAGCAATGACTGGGTCACAGGCTGGGGAGGGAAAGGCCTGGAGCCCAAGTGTGAGGGAGCTGGGGGTGCTGAGCCTGGAGCAAAGGAGGCTCAGGGGAGACCTTCTGGCTCTGCACAGCTCCTGACAGGAGCCTGGAGCCAGGGGGGGGTCGGGCTCTGCTCCCAGGGAACAGGTCAAGAGGAAACAGCCTCAAGTTGCTCCAGGGAAAGCTGAGTTAGGATCTGATGAACAAAGGCAACCCAAAGAACCCCAGACACAGCCCACCACAGAACCAAGCTGAAAAGCTGCCGGATGCACCCCAAAAAGCCACCCCAGGGAGGTGAACCCAGAGCCCAGGACCCACCGACGTCGGCCGCCGCCCGGGTCTTGTTCAGCACGTAGGAGTGGCTGGCAGGGCTCTCGCCCACCAGCACCACGCTGAGGTGAGGCCTCCTGTTCCCAGCTGCCACCCACTGCTCCACCTCCTGCCGGGCTTCCTGCCGGATCTGCCGGGCCAGCTTCCTCCCCGAGATCACAACTGCCTCCTTCCTGCAGCAGGGAGAGAGGCACCCGAGCACTCAGCACGGCAGGACCCGCAGACCCCACCCCCGGGCAACCCCGACCAGGGCAAGCAGATGCTGGCCACAAGCCAGGGTGGGAAAGGCTTTTACCTGAGCTCAGCACAACCCCACTGCACCCTCCCTCCACATCATGTGAAGCTGCAAGTTTCAGTCTTCACTTACAGCTCTGACACCCAAAACAAGATCAACCCAAACTGGGGAGGCTGGTGGGGTGCCCAGGGGGCCAAGGAGCCACCAGCAGCCTGGGTTGGGTGTGGCCAGCAGGAGCAGGGCAGGATCATCCCCCTGGGCTGGGCACTGGGGAGGGCACCCCTCAAATCCTGGGGGCAGTTTTGGGGCCCTCTCTCCCAGCAGGACCTTGAGGGGCTGGAGCGTGGGCAGAGAAGGGCAACGGAGCTGCTGGGGAAGGGTCTAGAGGCCAAGTGTCTCTGCCACCTCTGGTGCCCTCCCTCCTCGCAAGGACCAGCCCACCTCTGAGGTAATTCCCAACCAACCTGTCTCAACTCCACTCCACCAGCTACTCAACTTGCCACAAGACTCCAGGAGGCAACCGAGGCACAGGAGAAAACCCCACAGCTCCGAGCACCTTTTCTGCCCCTCCCTGCACCACAAGATCCAACAGGACTGAGCTGAATCGCTGCCATTTCTCCTCAAAAATCCACCAGCTGCTGGGGTCAGACCTCCTCCTACCAGGGCCCTGGGTTCTGTCCAACGCTGCCCTTTTCTGACCTCCTCCAGGTCCAATCCTGATCCCAGAGCCCTGGGAGAGGTGCCACGAGGGTCCCTCCAGCCCCAAGGTACCACCCCAGGTAAAGACTTTTTGCCAAAATCATTCTTAAGAGATGCAGAGGATGTCTTGTGCTTTACAAATTCCTGCCCAACTCAAATAAGCAGTTTTCCCTCTGTATTAAAAATTAAACGTTACTTCATCCCTAACAATTGCCATCCCAGTCCAACCAGTAAAATCTCATCCCAGAGCAGCACAGCCTCACCGGCTCTCTGATTCTTACTGAATTAGTTTCAGATCTGAACTATCAGACGTCAAAGGACTCACTACCAGTGCCGGGGAAAGGAGAATCCACTGGGTCAGAGACACCTCCTGCCAGGAGCCCTCCCCGACCCCCCTTCTCCCCCCAAGTCCGAGGTTGGGGTGCCCAACCTGGGGGTCCAGGGGATGGG